CTATTCACAAATTCATTGAATTTAAACCAAAAATATAAAAACTTGAATATTTGATAATCTAATTAGCTTACGTTGTTATAGAGTAATTACATAAAATGTAAATTTCAAACACAAATTTTATTGCTCAAAATTTAAAATATGATTACAAAAAATTGGTAAATAATACAATGCTGACAATAGCTTCGTTGGAAAGATGATAGTTTTATCTTTAATTTGCATATTTGATGATTTAGTTAACTTACGTTGTTATAGAGTAATTACATAAAACGTGAAGACACTGCATTTTCGAGTGAAATTTTCATTGCTCGAAATTTAAAATTTTATTATAAAAAAAAATGGGTAAAAATAAACAGTCATTAGAAAACCCATAGTTTTATCTTTAATTTGTTTATTTGATAATCTAGTTAACTTATGTTATTATAGAGTAATTACATAAAACGTGAAGACATTGCATTTTCGAGTGAAATTTTCATTGTTCTAAATTTAAAATTTTATTATAAACAAAAATAGGTAAAAAGAAACAATCATTAGAAAACCGATAGTTTTATCTTTAATTTGAATATTTGATAATCTAATTAACTTACGTTGTTATAGAGTAATTACATAAAACGAGAAGACACTGCATTTTCGATTGAAATTTTCATTGTTCTAAATTTAAAATTTTATTATAAAAAAAAATGGGTAAAAAGAAACAGTCATTAGAAAACCCATAGTTTTATCTTTAATTTGTATATTTGATAATCTAATAACTTACGTTGTTATAGAGTAATTAGATAAAACGTAAATTTCAAATACAAAATGAAATTTATATTTGAAAATTTAAAATATTATTACAAGAAATTGGAAAATAATACAATAATGACAATAGGTTCGTTGGAAAGATGATAGTTTTATTTTAAATTTAAATGTTTGAATGATCTAATTAGTTTAGGTTATTATCAAGTAATTAAATAAAACGTAAGGAGACTGCATGTTTATATTTCAAATTTCATTGCTCAAATTTGATAAATTAATTGGAGGTAAAAATTATGATGTTGGTTAATAAGGCCTTAATTTGTATCTTGTACGATCTAATTAGCTTAGTTACTGAGTAATTAAATAAAACATGCAGACATATTAACAACAACAAAAAAGAAGGAAAATCTGCATAACTCGTTTATTAATTAACAATTAGTGAAAACTAAATTTAGACTGTAAAAAGTATGTTGAAAAATTTGGTGAACAAATGAAAAGTGAAAGGATTTAAAATGTAACTAAGAAATTATTGTTTCTTCAGCGTAAAGTTTTATTAACTATCAATGTATGATACATAACAACATGATTCAACAACATTTTACATATATACTAAAAATATAACAGAACAGAACAAATTGTTGATTTGCCACTTAACAATGAAGTTTCCCAACATTATTTGCTAATTTATAGAAGAGATAATAGTCTAATTCTACTAAATATTGATCATTTGCATTTAATCCGAGCGTATTTTTCACGGCGAAGTGAATAAATATTTACAATTTATTTTTAACAAATATCGCTTTTCTAAATGCGTTCCGAGTAATGAAGTAATGAGAAGTAATGAAGGTTGGAAAGTTGCGTGAAAGTGGCCAAAAAATGAAATAAATACAAACATGATTGAGATGGTTTTACCACTTGAAATCTTCGTCCTTCCAACCGCCGTGCTCGATCTCTTTGTGCTCGTGTATCGGGACGTATATCGGGACTTTGACGGGATGCGGTACCTTCTTGTAGACGGTGTACGGGACGTGCTTGATGACTTCGTACGGGACGGGTTTGTCGACTTTAACTTCGACCGGGTATGGCACCTCTTTGAACACGTGCACGGGGATGTTCTTGATGACTGGGTAGGGTTGCGGGACCGGGACTTTGATGGGGTACGGGATTTTCTTCTCGACTGGGTATGGGACAGGTTTGTCCACGTAGACTTTGACGGGGTACGGTTTGATCACCGGGTATGGAACGTGGATTTTCTTCTCGACTTTGACCGGGTAGGGTTTTATGACGTGCACGGGGAAAGGACGATCCACCGGGACTTTGACAGCGTAATGGACGATCTTCTCGACCGGGTACGGTTTCGGGATGTGGACTGGGACTTTGACGGGATAGGGAATTTCCTTTTCCACTGGGTACGGTTGTGGTACCTTGACTTCGTACGGTACAGGTACCTGCTTTTCTACCGGGTAAGGTTGCAGTACCTTTACCTCGACGGGGTAAGGTTTATCGACGTTCACGTGGACCGGGTATTTGACGATCTTTTCCACCGGATAGGGTTTGGCTATCGCCACAGGTACCTTAACTTCCACTTTGTAAGGGACGTGGATTTCCTTCTCCACCGGGTACGGTTGTGGTACCTTGACTTCAACCGGGTACGGGATCTTTTTCTCTACCGGTACAGGGATCTTCTTTTCAACAGGATAAGGTACTTTGATCTCTTTAACAACCGTCACGACCTTCTCGTGATGATGATGACCTCCTCCACCGCCAGAACTATACTCCTCGTGACCTCCGCCTCCTCCAGAACTATACTCTTCATGACCACCTCCTCCACCAAAGCTAAATCCACCCTCGAAATGACCTCCTCCGAAGCTAAACTCATGTCCTCCACCTAAACTGATCTCTTCGTGACCTCCTCCACCACCGCCGCCTCCAAAGCTCTTCCACTCCTCTTCAGACCCGAATTTGCCATCTCCTCCACCAAACTCGTGCGAGAAATCGGAATGGGACAGACTCCTCTTGTCCTTCTTCTCATCTTTAGACGCAGCTGCCAGGACCAAAGCCCCACAGACCCATACGACACCCTGAAAAATCAATCAATCAATCGATAAGAGAGAGAGAGTAATCCAAAAATCTTTGTTCCTTTTCACTGGCACTTACAGAGAACTTCATTTGAGCTCGACTATCACACGGCTACTGCGATATCAACGATTTCTTTCTTCGCGTTATATACTGAAACTTTCCCTGAGCCCAACCCTACCACCCGACCTGCTGCACGCACATAATAAACACTGCCTTACCGGAAACAAATCATATATACACATTACAGATAAACGGAAACACAACGTAAAACCCACAAATCAACATTAACACTAAAGAAAAGCATAAAAAACAATCAAACAAACAAAGGCGAATAACTTGTAACAGCCTTCTCGTATCTCTTATTTTGTTATTATTCATTTTTTTTGAATTCGCAAACTGCTGCGCGCTTTTCCCTTTCGAATCCGAAACATTTGACACATACACATATGATAATTGCGTAAGCATTTATTAAGTATTCAATCGACATTAAAACCGTATTCCGCTTTAGAAATTCTAAATTATTATTATTAACGCAATAATAACTCTACGATTTTCACTTAATTGATCGGTGAAAATCGAACCTTTCAGATTCCGATAAATAATCATTAAATAATATCTATATTTAATTGAAAATTCTATAGTTCTTTTTGTTAAGTTTTCAGTCGAAAAAAATCGATAATCTCATTGTAAAATTAAAGAAAACTTCTTTACTAACTGATATCATTAGTTAATATAAAGAATACTTAATTAAAAAATTGATACAATTAGAATATTGTTTTTAAGATATTTTTTTAAGTTGATAAAAATTAATTTTTCATTTTTTTTTGCTTTTGTTAAAATAAAGAATCTTCAGTTCATATAGGAAATACTAACGCACTTAAATATTATACTCACATCACTGCGTTTTTGCTTATTCACTCTAGTGAACATAGCTAGTCAATATTAATATGTTTACACTGAACGCAAACATTCCTTCTTTGCGTTTCAGATAATTGTATCCATTTTAAACATGAAAATCCTTAGTTTTTTCTTGTGTTTCTAAACGAAAATCTATTTTACAAATTGAACATTTTCATTATAATAAGTTGAATAATATTTATAATATATATCAGATTCTGTTTATTGCGTAAGACTTTGAAATGTTTGAATCCTATTAAATTTTAAATTCCTCGTAGCAATGAATCGTAAACATCGACTTTCTTCTAATTAAACGCATTTTTTTAACTAATTATTTGCAAATCATCTTTTAAACTAATCTTATGTAAATAAAGATTGACTATTTGCCAACTTTGTATGTTAATTTCAACTTTCGTTAAAAAAATTCACATTTTTTGTCATTCACGAAAAAATATTTCTTTCTTTCAAAATTTTCGCATTTTCTTTTTTAATATCTCAGGATAATTCCTAATTAGATATCTAAGCAAATTCATTGTAAAAAAATGTATATTTCTTAATTAGATCTACGTTTATTTCTTCAATTTCAACCAATCTTCTGCACTTTGTAATTATCTTAACTTATCTTAATTTTGATTAATCTTCTAAACAAATTTAATGTGAAAAAAGTCAATATTTACCATCTTCATACATAATTATTGCATTTTTTTGTTAATAGCTCATATTAATTTCTAATTTAATATTTCTCAATTATTTGTAATTTTTTTTTTTGCAATTTCAACCAATCTTTTACAATTTGTAATTTTTTCTACACAATTTAATCAACATTAACTTTTAATCATCTTGTAAACAATTTTAATATAATTATCAATTATTTTTAACTCTTTTCAATTTCCAAGAATTTTTTTACATACATTATAAAACTTCGAACATAATTTTAACTTTTTACAATTATTTTCTTTTCGATATTTTTTCATATTTTGTTGCAGAATTGTTGCAAATCATCTCCATGTAATATGAAGAGAAATTCTGAGAATGTTTCGTATCTTATAAAATATCGTAAACGAGTAAATTTAATGCAAGAACTTATCTACTTGTACGACTTTAAATAATTTATCCTAGCATGTAAATTTTCGCAGATAATTTTCACTTTCTTCCCGTTGGGCGCGTGAAAAGAAAGCGTAAATTCTGATACATTTTCATGAGCATTTCATAACGCGCGTAAATGTGTATGTACGTCAAATGTACGTTCCGTGTATAAATCAATTTTTCAATACTCCACCCGAGAAGAGAAACGGCTCTAATAATCTAATCGGTCGGATAATGAGCGCGCACGACACACGACTAGAAACAGATATTATTCAAATCGATTCGCCTTGATTGACCATTTCCTTGTAAAAGCAAATTTTTCTCTCTCAAAACTCTTATCAATATCTCTCACTCTCTGGATTGTTTCCTCAACTTCTTCCTCTCGTTACCAAACAAACTATATATATAAAGTTCGCGACAGATGCTTGCGCCATTTACCAATTGGAGTTCTCTTCATTCTCTTCGGTAATTACTGGTTTATCTTACGGAAACGGACACGGTGCGCGTTTGCTCTATGTGTGTCGGAAACGGGAATCCTTCCTTTTTTCCATTTATTTCCACTTCTTTCGCTTTATTTCTTCTTTCCAATACGAGATGTTTACGGTACGTGTGCAATTTCATTTTCCGTCATTGTTTTGCACCGAGATGGATGGCTTTCCTACTTCTTTTTACTTTCCTTTCGGAACATAAACGTCTGCAATTCACCGAGAAAAAAGGAAATGTTCACATCTCACTTTTGTTCACTTGAAGCAATAAAATTATCTCATAACAATTCAATTAACACAAGAAAACATTTGAAATAAATAAAATCATTAATATTAGTCACTTTTTTTTGTTTTGAAACAAATTAATTATTACCTGGTAACATGATAACAATTGCACATCGAATGCCATTTTCAATTGTTTTGTGAAGTCAATGATCTCTTGTCAGTGGAAATAATTAAAATTTCATATAAACTAAAGTTTTATACAAATAATTACATTTTTTAGTAATATTATGTCAGTCTATTTGTTTGTTTGGAAAAAAAAGTAATTATTACTTAGTAAGATTATAATAATTGCACAACGAATGTCATTTTATTTTGTTTTGAGAATTCAATGATGTCTTGTTAATAGAAATAGTTAATTTTATCAAAAACATTTATACAAATAATTACATTTTTTTAGTAATATTTTGTCAGTTTTATAACAATTGCATACAGAATATCATTTTTACATGTGTTGAGAATTCAAAGATGTCTTGTTATTGTTTTGAAACAAAATTATGATTACGTAGTAATATTATAACAATTGCACATTGAATATAATTTTCATTTGTTTTGATAATTCAATGATGTCTTGTTAATAGAAATAGTTAATTTTATCAGTCTTTTTGTTTGTTTGGAAAAAAAAACTAATTATTACTTAGTAATATTATAACAATTGCACAACGAATGTCATTTTCATTTGTTTTGATAATTTAATGATGTCTTGTTAATGTAAATAATTAATTTTATAAGTTTTATACAAATAATTAATTTTTTATCAGTCTTTTTGTTTGTTTGGAAAAAAAAAAACTAATTATTACTTAGTAACATTGTAACAATTGCACATCGAATGTCATTTTCACTTGTTTTGATAATTCAATGATGTCTTGTTAAAGGAAATAGTTAATTTTATCAAAAACATTCAAGTTTTATACAAATAATTACATTTTTTAGTAATATTTTGTCAGTATTTTTGTTTGTTTGGAAAACTTATTAATACGTAGTAATATTATAACAATTGCACAACAAATGCCATTTTCACTAGTTTTAAGAATTCAATGATGTCTTGTTAATGGAAATAGTTAATTTTTTCAAAAACTTTCAAGTTTTATACAAATAATTACATTTTTTAGTAATATTTTGTCAGTATTTTTGTTTATTTGGAAAAACTTATTATTACGTAGTAGCATTATAACAATTAAACAACGAATGTCATTTTCACTTGTTTTAAGAATTCAATGATGTCTTGTTAATGGAAATATTTAATTTTATCAAAAACATTCAAGTTTTATACAAATAATTACAATTTTTAGTAATATTTTGTGAGTCTTTTTGTTTGTTTGGAAAAAAAGTTATTATTACATCCAATATTATTTTCACTTGTTTTGAGAATTCAAAGATGTCTTGTTAATGTTTTAAAACAAAATTATGATTATGTAGTAACATTATAACAATTGCACAACGAATGTCATTTTCACTTGTTTTAAGAATTCAATGATATCTTGTTAATGTTTTGAAACAAAATTATGATTACGTAGTAATATTATAACAATTGCACATCGAATATCATTTTTACTTGTTTTAAAACGAAAATCTTGACAATTAAAACGATATTCATTAACTATTGTTTTGTAGATTTGTTATTTAATAACAGTTATTTATGTAGTTTACATAATTCTGCGTGAATGCATTGAAAGTGATACAGCAAATTAATGAAATATCGAGCACGACTCAATGTAACGACCTGATCCAGTTTTCCGCGAAAATATAATAAGAGGTTTATTTGAAAGTACACCTTTTCATGAATTCATTAGATTACGTTTCATTACCCAATCCATTCGTTACGTAATTCAACAATAACAGAAATATTGAATTCGGAATTCCAATTTGCAGAAAACGTGTAAACTTGGTTGCCTACGACTAAAGATCGTTAAAAGCTATTTTATTGAATTATTTGACCTTTGACTTTACATAATATTTTTTTAAAACAAATGACTAATTTATTTATTGCTAATTGCATGTAATTAAACATGCTTTTAACGTTTGTTAATTGCAAATGCATTCTCGTTCTTTCTTTTACGTAAACATTAATTAACTTCCCTTCTTTGGGCGATCGATAAAACGCATTTTCTTATTTGGTTGAAGGAACATTTGCGTTCTTCTGCAGTAAACACTTCTCGTTGCGTAATTCATTGTTATGTCTTGAGATTTGTAATTTTCTGGAGGCGTCTTTCCAACAGCAAAAGCATCTTTTCTTTATTTGTAAAACGAAACATTTTCTAGTAGGAAACTGGATTCGATTGACGAACCAAATACGTACGCCTCCTGATTTCCAATGATTTATTACGATTAATTAGATTA